AGTCTCGTTATTAAAAGATATTCACTGAATCTAACACTGCATTTCTCGATTATCATTATGCACATTATGCGATATGTCTGCTTATTGAAAGAGATATGAAGTTTATCCGCTCGAGAAATTCTCCTTTATATTCCACAGAAAAATGTTCGTAATACTTTTGTTTCATATATCTCATTACTTCTAACAACGCTTTAAAGAAGAAATTTTGAATTTATTTCCTTTTGTCATTTTCATGTCGATTGTCCCTGGAACGCAAAGAAAAGGATACACACAAAGGGGTACGGCACTATGCCATAAAAATGGCGCTACGAGAAACAGCTATCTAGACTGTTTCAATTCCGCATCCGTTTGACTCTTTATTTTATCAATTGAAACTTTTTTTTCGTGCACGCTGAAGGCTCAAAAAAATTTTTTTACATTTTTGTATCATTTTGCACAAACAAATAGGGTGTGTTTTATATGAAAGGATGTGCTTATTCTCATTCTCTCGTCTCAGAACTTCGCTCGTTTATCAGTCTGCTCGACCCGTTACTCAGTGCGCTCGTAAATCTCACGATTACAGATCGTTGACTGCCGTACACATGGATTTGAAAAATCCCGCTTACAGTTACAAGCCCATCAGCAAAATTACTAAATGCTTATTTAATCTGACAACGCGCGTACATTGTTCCTGCAGTAACACATATTGTACATATTGTACACATTAATAGAAGAGAATGTTTGCGATATGAGTTATTCTGTATTCATTGATAATATACAAAACATTTTGCATTTATTTTTATTTCAATTTATTGCAAATTAAAAAATATATATATAGAGCGACCCATTTTAATCAATCCAGTCAATTTTCTTCAAAATTATTGATGATACGAATAAATACTTTAGAAAAGTGGAACGGGGACATATTTTGATTATATTGTTTTTTCTAGGTGGAAATACCAAAAAGATACAAAGATACCTCTACTTTTTTTAATGGAATTATGTTTTTTTTTATAGATAATTCTTTTAATTACTCTGCATATAAAATTAAGGCAAAAATAAAAAAAAAACTAAAATGGTTTACGAGATATTTTATATTTAATTCTGACATATATTGGCGTGAAATATTAAGTATCGTAAACAATTAATTTTTTTATTATGTTTCCAAAATAAATTTAATATTTAATAAATTTAGTAATTAAAAGACCTTAAATATTAATAAAGCATTTTACATTTAATTAGTTTAAAAAATAAAAAAGGCTTCAAAATTAAAATTAGAAAGAAAAATAAAAAATCCGTTTTCTTGGAAAGAAAATTACTAAAAAGTTAGATTATGCTTATTCTTTTGATTTATTTGGCTGAGACTATGAATTTTTCGACGGGATGTCAAAAAACGTTCTTCGCTCAATTTTAATTTAACTGGAATAAGTCAAGAGCAAACGAACACGCAGAGTTTCGTTACCGCGCACTCGCAGTTAGCAACTGTCTGCACTTGTATGTGTTATCCGGAAACGTCAGCCTCGATTCTACCGCGTTTTCAGAAAGCGAGGTTTAACCACACAGCACGGCAGCTGAAATTTTTCACTAGCTTCTGGTTCCTTCCGCCTTTCAGAGGAAGTAGTAGAAAACAATTGCAAGACCACTTCTCTGGTTCCATTGTCTAACAATGTAATCACTTCATACAGTCAGTAAAATTTATACATATAACTTGTTATACATGTGTATATATATATATGTATATATATATATGTATATATATGTATGTGTGTGTGTGTGTGTGTGTGTGTGTGTGTGTGTGTGTGTGTGTGTGTGTGTGTGTGTATGTGTGTGTATATGTATGTCTTTGATCACTAATGAATTATACTCGTTGCGATTACGTAATGCGACGAATTATCTCCGTGTGCGACACGCAAATGGAAATCCTCTCGAGGGCTCTTGGCTTCATGGGACTCCAGGGCAGTTTTAATTATACTCACGGAAAACGTTAATGTAATGATTTTCCCGTGAATATTTCTCATTTACTTGTATATCTCGCGTAATTTATTGCATATTTATCAATTATATCGCGAATTATATCAAAAATCTCAAATTCGCGATAAAATTAGGACAAATAAAGGATATATTGTACGGAAAAAAATATTTGATTGAATTAACTGGAATTCTAATGGAATTCTAATGGAATTCTAATGGAAAATGATCCAGAATTCTGGTTAAGTCTATTAGATTTCTGATTAAATCTACCAGAATTCTGTTTGAAATAACCAGAATTGTAATAAATTTAATCAGAAATCTAGTAAACTTAATTAGAATTTTGGATCGTTCATTTTCCATCACAATTCTAGTTAATATTATATATAATCCAATCAAATATTTTTCTCTGTATGGCTACTGAAAGTTTCCGACCATTGAGTAATTTTATTGTATTGTTCAATAAACTTTACAAATAGAGATCTTTACAAGTACTTACTTAAGGATGTGTGTAGTATACATATTTAAAAAAATAAAAAATAAAAAAATTATGGAAAGATTTTTCTATATTTAAACACAATATATAAGATAATAAGGCTTCAAAGAAATAAATCATAAAATTAATAAAAATGTGAGCCAATGTAAGCTGACACAAGATAATAGTGTGTGAAATTATATATATTAATGACAATAATGAATAACAATATTTCCCAATTTGGAAACTCTCTTTAGTGTAAAGCAAAAAAATTTTAATAATTATTGAGCATTATGATGCAATAAGTATAATCAAAGTGCGGAAATATATTACATGTTTGAATAATTATCTTTAAATCTTTTTAATAAAACATTGTTATTCATTGTCATTATATGTAATTATAACATATAATGTAATAATAATACAATTATAACATTATAATTTTGTATCGGCTTACATTGATTCATATTTTTATGATTTTTTTTCTATATTATATTTGAAACTAATACAAAAAGTTTCGCAATAATTTTGAATCCGCTATAAATTATTTCAATAAAAAATAAACCTTTTTAAAAAATAATTAAGATAGAATGAGAACATTGTTTTATTTAAACTATAAAATTGTGTTAAATATAAACATTGTCGTGTATAAATATTTGACAGTTTAACAATACAATTTTATAATTTAATTAAATGACGTTATTGAATTGTTTCACACGTATAAAATATTCAATACAGATATAATTCTATATCTGTATAGTATAATAATCATTTTTATACAGTATAAATTTCTAATTCTAGTAATTTTTTTGCAGAGACTATATACCTGATACATTCTTAATATATGCATACATATATTTAAGTTGATTACAAAAATTGAAAAAGATTGACAAAAATTATCATAAAATCACATGTGAATTTCTAACATCCACTATAATACGAGCAATTTCGCATTTGAAAGGTCATGTTTTTATTTCAGTAAAAATGCCGGCAATCATTCGAAAGATTAGAGAAATTGTATCGTGTTATTGGGAATTCGCTTAAGCGCGATCAAAACGAAACGCTTTGGCAGACAGGTTTACTTTTCTTAGAGGGACATAGTTTACGCATGCGAGAGAGACGAGTATCATCGATTAATCCAGTCGCGTTGTATTTAATGACAATACGTGCATACGGACGATAGTTTTGTTACTTAGAGGCCATATGTGTACATCTACACATGGCATATATATGTTTGAACAATACGTGGGTGCCGTGTCATATGACGTCCGTGACGTGATTTCCCTGAGTTGGGACACGCGACATCGATAATCGTAACGAATGTAGCACAGGTGGAACTGTTTCTAAACACAGCCAGATTGGAACTAGCAAACATGCCACTTAAGAAAAACGTCAATAGAGCGGGCTGGAACGATGTAAAGACCCATGGTCGAGATATGAAACGCCGGGATAAAATCGGTTTTAAAGACGGGCGCTTTCGTGCGAGGTTTGCTGTCTGCCGTTTCAAAGACGACAGGATATCACATCACCGAAGGTCGTTCGTATCCTCGTAATGGGTGTGAGCTAACTCGAAATGACTTGATATAAAACTTATGACCGATACGAAATTGCTTCCATTTCCACGTTTGTATATAGAGCTCACTTTTCCCTTATAATTAGTTCGATCTCAGCTCCTCGAACTGTATAAGAAAAAAAAATTAAAAAGAATCTTCTCGATATCGAAGAGACATACTCGAATTATCTCGATTTAAGTTGCTTATTTTTAGGCGAGAAAGAGAAAGAGAGAGAAAAAGAGAGAATCGCTACTTATTTTGCGTCCTGAGATTTATGCCCGGATTCATAGTCAGATCTTGTATTTAAGGCTTCCTTAAATTTATCTTTAGATGCTCAGTAGCCAATGAAATAATTCGTAAAATATCTGAAGATAAATTTAAGGAACCCTTAAATATGAGGCCTGATTATGAACACGAGCATTAATCCTTTCAAGCGCGAGACACATTATTGTATAGTTATACTATTAGACACAGAAATACACGATCTAAAAGCCTTACAATAATAAAGAAATAAATTAAAATTAAATTAAATTAAATTAAATTATTTATTAAATTAAATTAAAAGAAAATAAAAATAAAATAATAATATAAAATTTAAATAAATAAAGGCTTCTCAGATAACAATACAAATGTGATGAAAGAGAAAAGCCAATGTGAATCGACACACGTTATTCGTGTGTAAATATATATTATAATTTAATTAAATACAGACGAACGTTTCAACCCTGAGTCCTCTTCAATGTAATTGAATGTGATGATAGTAGTTTATAGTTTTGCAAAATTAATTAATTGTATAATAATCGAGTTCTCCTTTGTTTCATCATATTTATATTGAAAAATAAAATAAAATAAAAATAACAGAGTATATAGATGTGACAGCGCAGTGTATATATGTAGAGTCTATGTAAAGAGAGGAATCTAAACGAAAAGTGTTTATAAAAGTTGAAAATTTAATAACATAAAGCTAGAGAGAAAGGGATGCTAATCTACAATTACTGAACGTTAATTCGTTTCAGTTGCAGACAATGAGATGCAGGTCGCGTAATCTGCAGGCGCGTCGCAGGAGGTGGCCTTTACGATTGGGCCTCTTCCTGATTTACGTCCTCATGCAATATGTCTCCTCCACGAAAGTTCCTTCTTCAACTGAGACGACAGTAATGCAATCATCGAGTTCTGCGAAATGGACATCGGAGCCACCGGTATCTTCGATCATCTCCACTGAGGAGGAAGAACCGATAGAAGAAGACTCGACGATCGCCGAGGAGGAATCGAGAAAGACAGGTCATACGGAGAGATCTAAAATCGAAACGTCAAAGGATCTTGGACGCGCGAAAACCGAAACGGGCGTGAGAGATCTGTCTAAGGAAACCAAGATTAAGGAAAAGGAAACCGAGACACTATCACCGAAACATGATCAAAACAGCACCACCACGGTGAGTGCCACAATTTAAGTCTCTATCGTGATATACGAACAGTTTTCTTTTTCTTCTTCTTTTGATTAACATTTTTGCAAAACACACTCGATTAGCTGGACGGCTAAATGGAAAATGTAAATTTCACGAAGCGCGTGACGTTTTTCAAATAAGAGAAAGGATCCTATTTTCGGATCTTGATGCTTACATAATAATAATAGTTATATATAGATTTACAAATACATTTTCTATATGCGCTCCAAATGATTTGTCGGATTTGTCGAAACGCGATTATATAAAATGAATCTGGAAATAACATCACAAATTGCATTGATCAATTTAATGTTAGAATAAGCATCTTAAAACTGCAAATAATTTATTGCGAAAAATATCACCTTTTCTTTATAGAACTGAAAAACGTACTGTAAATTTACTTACATATGAATATTATTAAGCACCAAGATCCGTTTCAAAAATAGAATTCTTTCTCTTATTTAATTTATTCTTATCTAATTTTCACTTATTATTGATTAGTTTTTGTAGAAAGTCTAATAAAATGTAATGTAGAACCTGTAATGCACAATAAACTTTATTATATTTCTATCAGCACTTTATCGATAGAAATACAATAAAATAAAAAAAATCTGCGAGATAGAATTTTGACAAATTCTATTTGTCAAATTCTTACCGTCAACATAACGTCGTGTTATGCTCTCAAACTCTGTGAGGGATATGCTTAACATATCGCAATCAATGCTAATCGACAGCTATCTATCGTGATCTCCATTCGATTTTGCCGACGACGTGACAATTCGCTTGTTGCTGGTTTGTATACCCCATAGGTATTCTTGTATTTCGCAGCGCAGATGGATGGATTTCGAGGAAATAAGATTAGAGGTTGTCGCATAGATCAGAATTGAGATATGCGATACACGATGTGTGGTTGCGTAACACTATCAAGCATTATGCATTGTATACTATTGTGGATTAACGTGCATTAACGAGAGTTTTATACTTTTCTTGAGGTTTTATAATTTTCTTCGAAGATACAGCTCGAATTATAAACGCATATTAATTAAGCGAATAAATTACAACTAAGTTACATTAATCCTAGAGTACTACTATGATTTCTTTTGCCTTCTAAAACCACACTGGAGTACAAAAATAAATTTTTTAGCATAACATAGAATGCTTTGTATATGTGTAGAAGGATTCAGTGATAGCTCAATCTTTTCGTTTTTTAATAAAGAAGAGAATGGCGTTAATTAAATTCAATTTGCTTAACGCTATTCTCTTCCTTATTAAAGTTGAAAGTTAGTTCCAATTGTGCAAGGAAAAATTCTGTACCAACTTCATAGTCGAGTCTTATATTTAAGACTGTCTCAAGTACAATCTTAAGTTGTCGTAAGTTCGTCAATCCGAAGATTAGTATCCTGTATTAGCACCTTAAGACATTATTTAGACGGTTTTAAAATAAGAATGGACTATGAGCTTTAGAAAGAGACACTGTCCAACTGCATACCATGTTATCTTTCCATCATGATTGGGTCTCGAACCAAAAATATTGTCTGCTATCTTAGCAGTGTAGTTTGTTGATTTCTTTGAGATTCATTTTTACTCGGGTATAGTAGTCTAAGATTAATAATGAATGATAATGACTTGACTGCTGAAAGAATTTAATCCTCCGAAGCTAACGTCAAAATCTGATAGTTACTAACGCGATGGATCTGTAAGAGATCCATTTAATTTATGTTAACTAAAAGGCATTTTAAATAAATGACCTAATTTGTATAAAAAAAAATTATTAAGTTTACTTTAATAACAATAGTTCAAATTTTTGCGGATGTATTTAATATAAAAAAATATAATTGAGTAAATTCAATAGATCCATTGTTAGCTTCGAAAGAATATAATTGAATGGATTCAATAGGTTCACTTAGTTTCAGAGAATTAATTTGTTTTATTTTTTTTCGTTTTAATGTCGTTTTAAATAGGTTGCTCCAACCACCCAAATGACTACGAGATATCCGTATCCCACGGTGAGACCGCGAAGAACCAACTGTTCGGCGCCCGCTATAGAGCAGTTTCCACGGCCGTTAATGGGCCCCGAAGCCAGGAAACACGGCGGGCTCATAATACACATTCTGGCTGCTATCTATACGTTCCTAGGTCTCGCAATCGTCTGCGACGATTACTTCGTTTCAAGTCTAGATAGGATCTGCGAAGGTAAGGCGAGTGAAAATCGTCCCTCTCCTTCCCTGGCGATCACATTGAAATCAATAATTCCGTAACTCGCGTTGAGTTACAGCGTTACACGTAACTTTGCAAGAGGATTGTATTTCACTGCGGAGATCTACCGCGTGGTTTGTTATTAAAAGTGTTTCGATTCTCGGTTTTTTTTTCATTGGAAGTTACTTTTAGATTTCCGATATGTCCGATTTTGAAATAATTAAAGATATGCGATCCTTGCGATTTTATTTTAAATAATTTATTTTTATATTTATATTATTTATAAGTATTATAAATTCATTATATCTTTTATCTTTATCAGAACTGAGACTGTCTCCCGATGTCGCCGGTGCCACTTTCATGGCAGCAGGCTCTTCTGCGCCCGAATTGGCGACAGTCATCATCGGCGTGTTTTTCGCCAAGGACGACATCGGAGTGAGTATTACGGTCGCCTAATCGCGCCTTGCATGCTTCGCCGCGTTCGTTAAACATCATGAAACGTAAACCACATAAATAACATTACGCAAGCCAATACGCGAGCAAATTATTTGTTTTAATCACAAGGGAAACTATTTTCATTATCGTCACATGAATCTGGCTGACACTCAACAGTAAACCAAACATTCTCGTCTCGTTAGTTAATACAGAAATTGTCAATTAAATGCTTCTGTTTTAGGTCAGCGGCGTAATTGGCAGCGCTGTCTTCAATATAATGTTCGTTATATCGATCTGTGGCCTATGCTCCGCGACAGCCGCAAAGTTGAATTGGTGGCCTCTCTGTCGAGATTGTTTTTTTTACGCCATTTCGATCCTCGTGATGCTCGGTACGATTTACAACGAGTCTATATCTTGGTAAGCATCTTCATATATTCAATTACATTCGATTATACATTCGAAACGTCCAACGTTAAATATTATAGATGAAATAAAAATGTTTCAGGATGGAATCTCTCTTCATGTTAATCATGTACGCAGTTTATTGCGTGGCACTCTCATTCAATGTTAAATTGGAACGTTGGGCGAAATCGTACAATATTCCGTTTCTGCCGAAAGACGATGAACCCGCTGAGGAAAGCGCTTTAGTGAGCTACAGATCCTTACAGGAGGATCGATTATCCTACACTGGTCCTAACTCGCCAGTCACCGAGCAAATGAAGAATCAAGAAGGTAATTGAATAAAAATCTTGCTTATTCATATCTTCCATATATTCTCTAGAGATCTAAATGTATCCTTCATTCTCTTTCAGGAAATGGCATTCAAGAAACGATTGAGCAACAGCAGCAGCAACAACAACAACAGCAGCAGCAACAACAGCCACCGGCACCGAGACAGCCTGAGTATTACAAAGCAAAAGAGCCCGATCCTAACGAAGTATCGCCCCTCGTGATGCCGACGGACGGTAGCAAATGGACCTTGTTCACTTGGGGCCTCGTGTACCCCATCCACTTCATGTGCCGGGCGACAATGCCAGATTGCCGGCAAGAAAAGTGGCGGAGCTGGTATCCCTTCACGTTTTGTATATCGATGATCTGGATCAGTTTCTATAGCTACATAATGGTGTGGATGATCACAATTATAGGTAACACTATCATTTGATCCGCGATTGAATTATGCTTTTAGCAAATATTAGGTATGGGAAAAAGTTCGTGGCGTTTTTCCCATTAGATGGCATTAAAAAAACGCCACGAACTTTTTCCCACATCTAATAGAATTATCTTAGTAAAGTGGTTGATTTTGCAGGCAGTACTCTGGGCATTCCCGACACCGTGATGGGATTGACTTTCGTTGCCGCTGGTGTGAGTGTGCCGGACGCCCTTTCCTCATTGGCGGTCATTAAAGAGGGTCTTGGTGACATGGCGGTCAGTAACGCCGTAGGTAGCAATGTTTTCGACATCCTGGTATGCCTCGGTCTTCCGTGGTTCATACAGACCGCTATGATACAGCCCGGGTCGCATGTTAATGTTACCAGCAGAGGTACATAGATTTATCTA